GTCTTATTGAAGCCAATCTCAATGATCGGGTGGCCTATCACCAATTACACAGTGCTTGTGCTCAAGTAACTCTTTATTCTACTTTACAATGACCCCAAAGCACAAAGATAGTGGTACTGTTTGATATCTAAAGAGAAGCCATGGTTCCTTTTAAATGAAAAGGGGAAGTTCTTAATAAGAAGAAAGAATTATATACTGAAGTTGTTAAAATCTACAGTGCAATACAATATTGTGGAGCAAGAGCATATCCATGTATCTTTTACTATAATATATTGTAACAAATATCTTATTAGTTACTGCTATTAATTTCTTAGTATGCCTGTTCATAAATTAAATTCTATCATAAGTACATGTGTTTAGCAAAAACATAGGACCACTCCCTAACAAAACCAAGGAGTTCAGACCATTAATTCAATACATAATCAGTGTTTGAATCTTAACTAAGACTCTGTCATATGAATCCTTATAAATTTACCTCTTAGGTTACACTTGCTACCAAACTGTGCAGTACCAACAACTGCAAACTCTCTGCTTCTGATATTCCAAGTCCTCTCTAAAGAGACATGTAGTTCACCATCTCACTTAGGTGAAATTTGCTTTAGGATGAACTTCTAGACCAAATTACTGGTAAAATATATGCATGTTACTAAATATTTAAGTACCACTGTTGTTATAAAGAGGGGCAAATACCTAGCCAAGTTACAAATTAATTCATATAAAGAAAAAGGAGTAAGTCATAATTAGCTATTCTTTTTAAGGCACAATAAATTTTCAAGAGGCTAATAAAATGAGATCAGACACGTAATGACCTACCATCCTGCCATATACTTAAGTCCAAACTACTTGCTATGAATGACACTTCTGCAGGGATCAAAAATGACAGTATCATTATATGTAACTTATTTAGAGTAAAAGAGATATACTTCATTCGATTATTTATTCATTCACAATAACTAAATTCCTGCTTATGTGACAGACATTATATTAGGCTCCAGTCAATTGATTATTGTTGCATGACAAATTATCCAAAAACTTAATGATATAAGACAATTATTTAAACATGGATTATCTTAATTCCTGTAGACCAGGAATTTGAGAGCAGCTTACTGAGTAGTTCTAGATCATAGTCATTTTTGAGGTTAAGATATTGACCTGGTGCAGAAGCTAGACCGAAGATCTAAAATACACTGGGACATGACAAATTATACAATACTCTAGGTATTCACAGGCAATGAGACCAAAGGAGGATACTCCTAGGGGAGGGAAGCAAAGGTACAATGTCTCTATACTTCTGATCATATAAAATAATATTTCTCTAAATGAATTCCAGGAAACAGAAATAAGAGTTAAAATAAAAAAGATATTGACTTGGGATACAAGCAGTCATTTGAAGGCTTGAATAGGGATGATGAATCTACTTACAAGATCACTTGTATGGCTATCCACTGGAAGTTCATTACTCACCAAGTAACTCTCTTCATAAGTTGTCCCAGTGGGCTTACAAATATGAGTTGACAGCTACCTTACTCAGAAAGTAACTTCAGAGAGAGAACAGGAAGAAATCTAGCATGGTTTACAAATTCCCCTAGAGAAGTCATATTACATTATTTCCACCTCATTCTACTCATGAGAACAAGTCATTAAGTACAGCCCAAATTTTAAGTTAAATGGAATTAAGCACCACCCCTGGAAGGCAGTATCAAATAATTTATGATTATATTTTATGACTACAATTGGAATAACTGTAAGTTAATTTACAAAATTAAAATCATTATAAAATGATTTGTAGATATATTTAATATTTGGGTAAAATAAAAATAAGTTTATTAGGAGTAAGTTTATTGTAAGTAATTATTGTTGGTTTGTACCTTCTATTTCTATATTCTGTTTACCTTACCACAAATTCTCTATATACTGATGAATAAATGATGACCTGTCTTATTATATCAAGTGGGAATTGCATCCAATGCTTACAACCAAAAACCCACATAACAAAACCCAATAGAGAAGAGGTTTATTTTTTGTCACATAACAAAAATCCAAAAGTGAGCAGTCAAGAACTAGTACTCTGGCCCTCCAGAGTAAGCAAGAATGCAAGCACCTCTGGCTATACTATAATAGCATGTGGGGCTTCTATTTGTGGTTGGAATATGGCTACTCAGAGTTCCTGTTCCAGGTAAGAAAAAGGATGGATGCAAGACAAACTCTCCTAAAATCCCTCCTAGAGACATTTATTTTGCTCTCACTGATTGTGTCATATGATCTGCTATGACTCACAAGTGTTTTGGGGGAAGTGAATCTTTTTAAAGGACACACTGTCACCCTGAGAAAAAAGTCAGGTTTGACTGGAAAGGATATTGGCATAGACTACTCACAATGTTTATTTTCCTGCTTCAAGGAGTTTTGACATGCATTACTGAAATATTAGATACCAACCAGATACTTCCTGAGATTTATGTTTTCAAATGAGAGAATCCAGTAAGTTTTGAGTCCCACATATAAACTATATTTTTCAAGTAACCACAACTTAGTTTTTTCCCAGTTGATAACAATGTAGCTGATATGTCGTTTTTAATAATGTGTCCAAGGAGATCATTGCACAATTGTACAAAGTTAGAAGCATAAGAAATTTCTTAAGAATTGTTTATAATAGTAAAATCTTGAGGGGAGAATCCATAAATATCAGCCAAGAAAATATTGATGATACACCCAGTTAACAGACACTATGCAACTTTTAAAAAACATTTTAAAATTCATGATGTAGACTTCCTGTAAAAAAAAAACTGTGCATCGGATATTAATTTTAAAAATTCTGTATTTATATTTCCTTAAGTGTTTACTTTTAAATGTGTGGGAGAATGTAACACAGAAATTTTAAAGTAAGCATCTTTAAGATTATAGGAATTAGTCAAATTATAACCATCTCTTTACATTTAAAATTTTTGTTTGAATATGCTTATTTAAAATACCTTTCAAAATTGCCAAAAAGAGAAAGATTAAGAGATCTCAGCCCTTTTTGCCTGTAATTTTCCAAAGTATAACTATGGTTTATCTTATCTTCAAAGAGTTTCTTTGTTCACTGAAAAAATGTTATTACTTATTAATTATAACTTTCAATAAATTAAATGAGATAATCTTGAATTTTGTTTTGCTTTCTATTGGAACACTTTGACCACAGAGGGGTCTCCTTTTTCTGTTTTACAGTGGGTAGAAGGATACCGAAGAAAGTTGTAGAAGGGGATGCGGTTGGAAAGAAGTTGGGGAGAAAAGGATAAAGCTAAGGCTGCAAGGGAGAACAAGATAGACATGAGCTTGGGAAAAGACACTAACTTGGATATTATGGCCTTCTTTTCTAGTGTGGACCTATAAATTTATATTTCTGCCTTCAGTTATTCATCTGAACAAAAAGATAAATTTGGATTAGTATCATTAGATGTAATTTAAGATTTTTTTGTATCATTCGATGTAATTTGTTTTAATTATGTTCAGATTCTTTTAGATCCATTGATACATCCTGGAAAATGGTACTAAAACTGAACCTAAAATATGTGAAGGACAATAACAATAAGTTAAAATACATTGGTGATTCTCTTGAGCATACTCTTAAGTAGTGGTAAGAACGCATAGCTAATTTGTGAAGGTAACCAATATTTCTGCCTGCTATGGTTTGAATATGGATGTCCCCTCCAAAACTTAGGTTGAAACTTAATCCTTATTATGAGATGTTAAGACATGGGTTCAAGTGGAACCTTTAAGTTGATGAGGGGTCTGTTCTTATAAATTGTTCATTCACTCCTGTGATTAATGGATTAACGAGGTAAGGGTGGGCCAGTGTGGTTACATCTCCTATCAACTCCGTTTCTTATCTTACGATATCCTGCTTCACTTCAGATCTCTGCCAGCTGTCAACAGCTGCGGTCTTCTTTGACCATAGTCCAGAACCAGAGTAAAAATTAAACCTCTTAGAGCTTTATCACTTCATCCGTCTACACCAAGCACAATAAGCAACAGAGAATGAAGAGGGCCCATGCAGTTTGACTTCCGAGTCCACACTCTCCGGTCAAGGGTTCTAAAGAACTCCCTGCAGAAAGCTTGTCAAAGCAGCAGAGGAAGCCGAGAACAGCTTCCTCATCCTGGAGCTCAGCCTGGTAGATCACGGCTAACGTCAGTAAGGTGCAGACCTCCCTCCCGCCTCAACAGGTGGCAGCCCTCCGGTTTCAAAGACAGCTTCCCGGTTCAAAGTCTTTGCCTTGTAAGGGCAGAAGACTTGTCGGAGACCCCAGGAACTTCTTCCGGTGCTTGGGGCAGATTTGAATGCTGATGGAACTCAGACCACTCAGTCGTTCTCACGACTTTCTGTTACCACCGACGGGGTGGATCTTCTGGTCTTTTTCTCCCCTCCCAAACATACCTCAGATTGTCAAACTTCCTTTCCTTAAGGCCACTCAGATACAGAGTAAAGTTCAGGGAGAGGACAACAAAAGGAAAAAGAAAAAAACCAGAACCCCAAACTGGTTAAAAGAGGTCAAGACACTCCTAGAGCGTGACAGTCTGTTTCTCAGGCAAAAGCCCCTCAGGCATGCCCCAGCTTCGCATCCTGCCGATTACTTGATGCACTGTGCACCTAAGTCCGGAAGCCAGACATGAACCGCTCCCTCCCCCTCCCCCGCCCCAGCACGACTGAAAAGGCGGGACACGACCGGGTCACTCCGCCAGGGGGCCGCAGTTAAACCTACAGCTCCTGAAAGCCCCGACTTCCCAGGCCCCTTCGCAGAAGGGCGGGGCTTGAGCTCCACAGCCAATCCCCGTGTCCGCACGTCTCCATAGCCCCGCCCACCCTGCCCCTCCGGTCCCGCCCTTCCCCGGGGCTGGTGCGGCGGCGACGACGTCAGCGCTAGGAGACCCCTGGGTGGCGGCTGCGCTGAAGGCGGGCAGCGGCCTGGACGCGCTGCGGGGAGGGGCGGAGCGAGAGGGCGGGAGCGCACGCTGGGCCCGCCTCGGCCGCCGCTGCCGCCGCCGCCACCGGTGAATGATCTGGGCGGCCGCGGGCGGCCCCGGCTAGCGGCCACCAGCCACTTCTGCGGCTGCCCACGGGAGCGAAGGTCGCCGGGCCCGTGTCGTCCCCCCCTCCGCCCCCTCCGGAGGGGCGAGAGGGCGCCGCGGCTGTGGCAGGTACGGCCGGCGGAGGCGCCCTCCGGCTGCGGGTCCCAGGTCCCGGCTCCCCCGGGGTGTGTGTGAGCTAGCGGGGAGCGTGGGGGGGTGGTGGCGGGGGGTGCTGTGGAACCGACGCCGGACGCGGCCAAACAGGTGTCCGGGTCGGCGGCGGGCTCGGGGGCGTCGAGGGGACTTCCTGTGCCGGTGTTTCCGCGCACGCCGCCGCGGTCGGGGGGTCGCGGCCGCGCCTCGGCCGACACGGAACCCCTGGGTGGCGGTGGGTCGTTCCTTTCGCCCTCCCGCGCGCCCCTCGCCGCCGCCCCCCTTCCCTCCTCCGGGCGCGCGGCGTCCGGGCGTCGGGACCCCACCGCTTAGCGGTCCGGCCCCGCCCGCCCCGCCCCGCCCCGCCCCGCCCCCGGGTCCTCCCCGAGCGAGTCGCGGGCGAGCGGCGCGTCCCGCCGGCCCCGGCGCCCAGGTGCGGGGCTCTGGTCGCGATCGCCGCGGGGCTGCCGCGTCGCCTGAGCGCCCCGCCGTCGGGTGCCTCGCCCGAGTACCTGCGGTTAGCCCGGGGCTAATGTGGATCATCAGGCTCGTCTGTACCCAGATTTAATTATATTTTAAGTTTCCTTGCCGCCGACGGAGTGAACCTGCCAGGTGTGCGGTCGTGGCGCTTGGTGTGTGGAAAGGCAAAGGAATTGGTGATTTTCTTCCCTTCCCAACCAAGGTGTGAGGGATTGCTGGCTGCTGGGTAATTGTCCGTACGACTGTGAACTTAGATAAATTATATACTCTTATGCTTATCATAGAGGTGTGTGTGATTTTTTTAGCTCTTAGAAACCCCCATTTTCCAAAACAACATTAGCAATTTAAATATATTCTGGGAAAGCTACCTAAATTTCTAATCTAGATCGTCAAATTCACTGTGGATATCAGCGTTTTCTTTTAATATTTAAAGACATAACGCATGAATTGAAAAGTTATACTTACAACTTTAACATATCAGACAGTAATTAGGCAATGTGTAAGGGTCAGAGATATGTTAATTTGCTAAAAGTTGGACGTAGGACATAGATAGCTGTGCCTGGATGCCAAGAAAAAATATGTTATGCATAATTTCAAATTGTTTAATTCTAGTTTAAGTTTGGGAGGTGAGAATCTTGAGTTTTTAGAAGGTGTGTAGATGACAGCTTTCCACTCACCAGATAAATGTCAAATGAATTTTAGTCGCTTAAAAACTGTCTTGTAAGTATTGTATATAATAAACTGCTTGTTTTATTTCTGCAGCTCTACTAAGTATTGATGTACAGGTTAAATGAATATAAAGTTTTAAGTTATCAGACACGTAACTCTTGGTACCATATGTTGACTACAATAGTGATTTAGTAAGGAAAACGACTCATTTAAAATTTATAGGAAAAGAGAATGATTTTGTATTATGAGTGGAGAACTATTAAATGTCTTTTAAATTTCTTTGGAATTTATATGTTTCTGTATTTTTTTACTTAGGATTCAGCATCTTAAAAATACTTCGTATTACCACTCATTTAAGGTTTTTCTTTTCATTTACACTTTTAAATTATACTAGTCTGTATTTGTGAATATATTAAATACCAAGAAATGTTTAGATTATCACCAGTTTATTTAGGAGTACATATAAGAAGTTAATGTGTACCCAATATAAATGTCAAAGTGTGTCTTAGGTATATATTATATATTATTTGTATGTATGTTGTATGTATGTGCTGAAGTGAAAGTCATGTTATACAGCTTACCTTTGAAAGCCATAATAATTTAAAGTAGTCTTTGATAGTGAACTCAGAACTTGAAGTATTTGTGAGTATGTTTATAAATGAACCTTCAATAGAAAAATGTGAGCTTATGTTGCACTTCAGTTACACTTGAGGTACAAATTTTTGTAATACATTCAAATGATTTGTTGGGATTCTAGTGAAGAGGCTTGTGTACAAATTATTTTACAAGATGAAAGAAAGGAAGAAGTGATATAATTTTTTTATCAGTGCAATTAAGTTCATTCTTTCAAATGAAAGATTTATTTCATAAAATGTGAGGTTAACATTTCATTTTGAGATCTGGTTAGAAAGAAATTTCAGTATGTACTTAAATACTTTACTTTGCACCTAAATCACATATCCCAGGGGACATAATATACTTCATGCCCCAGATGTGTGTGTGATGTGTGAAAATAGGAAACATCCTTTGGAGAAATAAAACAAGTCCTTGAGCTATGGGAGGCCACAAGAAGGTTTGAGAAACAAAAAAGGAGATTGAAGTTCTCTAGCATCTGTGATATGAGGTGCTTTGTACTTGAAGAAACATACTAAGGACAAGGAGAAACCAGTATTGGGGAAATTCTAAAACAGGAAACGTCCTTAATTGACAATGAAAACACATTCAACTGGTAGAAAGTGAGTAGTAGGCAGAATTTGATGTTTTACACCACTTGGTTTAGTCATTTGCATTGTTGGTTGTTGTATTAACTTCCTAAAGCTGCCATAATTACCACAATCTAGGTCATTTCCCAAATTTGATTCTCCAGGCTACATATCTTAAGATGTTGGCAGAGAGTTGCTCTTAAACTTCTAGAAGAGAATGTGCTCTATAACTCTTTGCAGTCCTTGGTTTTCCCCTCTATCACTCCAATCTTTACATTTTCTGTGGTCCTGAAGCTTGGTTTTCAAGAAATGTGGTGCCTGGACCCATAGCACACCTGGAACTTGTTGGAAATGCAAATTTTCAGACACAGCCGCAGATCTTTTGATTTGGAAACTTTTAACTAACCTTCCAAATGAACATTCAGGGTCAAGAAGCACTGACCAAGATGGAGAAGAGTAAACAAGATGAGTAAGTAGAATAATACTAGATAAGTATTAAATAGATAAGCATGATAAGTGCTGCTGGTAAGAATGGAATGGTGAAAAAGATCTCTGAGAAGCAAAAATTTGCAGTAGTTGGGGAAATGAGACATGAGTAATTGGTTCAAATACCCTGGCATTTTTTTTTTTAAAGGAACTGCAATGAGTCTCTACTTAAAACACAGGGAAACAGTATTAGGATCAATCATATGAAATGAAAATGAGCTGCTTGCTCACTTTTTTGCCTCCAAACCACCAAAATAGATGTGAAAGAAAGGGGTAGAATAAGACTGCAGACCAAGTGAAAGTCATTTTAAGGTTTGGCTTTTTAAATGAAATAGGAAGATGGCTGAAGTTTTTAGCAAATGGTTGACAAGATCTAGTTTCTATCTTAAAAGGATCACTGGCTACTGGTAAAAAGAGACTAAAGAAGAAAAGATTGAAGTAAGGGAAGAGTCGGTTAGAACTTTTTTTTGGGTCCTGTCGTGGGCCCTGTACTCTGGGCCTCGGCGCTGTCCTTCAGCTCTTCAGCTCAAGGCTAGCGCTCTACCACTTGAGCCACAGCACCACTTCCGGCTTTTTTCTTTTTGCTTATGTGGTGCTGAAGAATCGAACCCAGGGCCTCAAGCATGCAAGGCAAGCGCTCTACCACTGAGCCACCTTCCCAGCCCAGAATTTTTTATTTATTGCTGTAAGTAAAAGAAAAGGATACATCATATCAGATTAAAATTATAGGGAAGAACAAGAATAAAACAATGAAGTAGAAAGTAAGCTCTTCTTTTCTATTGTATTTACCTCAGTCACTAAGTGCCCCTCCTGGAAGGCAACCAAGTGTTACAACTTGTCTTGGCCATTGAATTTGGGATAACAGTGAGGGGAACATTAAGAAAATCTGGGGATGGTGTGTGTGTATGGCTTTGTGGTATAGTGTGTCTTGTTATGTGCAAGACCTTGAGTTTCTAGTTTCTGTATACAGGATAGGAATGAAATAGAAATCCATTGATGAGTAATTTAGATAATTACCATTTACTTAAGACAAGATGAGCAGATTTAAAGGAGGATGGTAATGACTCACTTTTGGATAAGTTGAATTTGAAATGTTTATGGTACAGGTAGCAGTCATTTCTTGAAACTTGGGAAAGTCTGAAAAGGACCTAGAGATCATTTTGTATAACAAGTATAAGGAAATTAGTCCTCTCTGGCTTTTTACTGTGTTCTAATAGTAGAATTAGTATCTTACTATTAGTAAAATACTACTATACTGTAGTGTTAATACTAATTCTACTATTCTAAAGGTAGAATAAGTCTACCTTTATTCAGTTTTTATCAGAAAAGTCACAGGTAAAATGCGAAGATTGAACATTAAAATTAAAACACAGGGTTTGAATTTGCTATTCTTGTTCATGTCATCCAATATACATTCCCAGAAGTTTACTCATAAGATATGTGTGTGTTTATATGTCTGTTTATATGTCTATTAACATGCTTATACACAAGCATTTAAAAAAGTAAGACTATGCTATGCAGACCTTTTTATTTTATATTAAAAATAAATCTTTTACATGGATATTAAAGTGGGTAAGGTTGCATTGAGGAAAAAATAAGGATAAGGTAGAGCTTAGATACAGCATAATTTAAATGTAAATTAAAAGGTGAGCATGCATATGTACTGATATAGGCATTACTTTTTTTGACAAGATTTTAAATAGTGAATAGCACTTAACTTGAGGGAGAACTAGTAGTAGAGATGGTAATGAAACAATTCTTTTATCTTTATTATTTGTTTGAGTTTGTTTTCTCTTTTCATTCTCTAATTTTTAAAAAAAATCACTGTATTATCAAAATAACATATAGAGGCCATTGGTTTTGTTTATTTATTTTTGTGCCAGTCTTGGGACTTGAATTCAGGGCGTAGGCTCTGTCTCTGGGCTTTTTTGCTCAGGGCTAGCACTCTACAACTTGAGCCACAGCTCCACTTCAGGTTTTTGGTGCTTAATGGGAGATGAGTCTCTTGGACTTTCTTGCCCAGACTGGCTCCAAGCCTCCATCCTTAGATCTCAGCCTCCTCAGTAACTAGGATTATAGTGTGAGCTATTGATTGGTGCCCAGTGTAGGCCATTGTTCTCGACAGAGCATTATGTTGTA